ATAGAAGGGTTGCCGAATTTTTTATTGTTTCTATCTTGTTTAAACTGATAATGCACTCCTTGTGTATTAACTTTTGATTTTAATCTATAAAATTACGCGATTACTTATAAAAAAATATATATATACGAATGTAACTGGTCTCGCTCATAAATTGTCATTACTATACCACTATTCTCGAAGGGGTATTAATAATCCAGAAATTGATGACTTTGAAACATATAACAGAGTCGGTTCCATAAATTCTCACTAAAATATTATTTTGTCAACGCTACATATATTAAGAACTTTGATATTTACCAACAAAAACTATGTTGTTCAATTTTTTTATATTAATGTTTTTAGTTGGTGGGCATACCATGTGAAACTCATACTGATGTATACAAGCAAAAGGAACTGGTAACATCCTGTTGAAAATGTTAACAACCGCAATACTGATCTTGAGAATGTTCAAGGAACCTTGAACTTCAAACCACATCACTAAATACAAGATTATTTCACAAAACCTCAAGAACAATCTAAAAATCTTCAGATTCTTGCATCTAAATATTGAGAACCGCAAGCAAATGTAATTGCAATGATTAATTATTAAACTTATTCACCTTCAGAAGGAGTCCAGGTAGCTGATGAAATGAATTTTAGACTCGCGCCACAAGATTCACATTTAATTTTATCAACATCCACGCTCACCCATCCTCTTCTGGCACAGGCAAGTGCACTAGCAGCCTGAATCAAACATAGCACAAAATGAAATATATAAACACAAATCTCGTCAAGTTCACAGTGAACGTCCACATAATACACTATTAACGGATTCGGAATCCATTCAGAAGAAAAAAATTTAGTTCCTACCTGACTTTTGATTCATAGCATAGAAAACCTGAATTTATTTTCATATTAATTTGCATCTTGTAAATATTTTGTTTCAAGTGTTGCCATGAAATTAATAGGAGCATGTCAATAGGGCTGAATCAATAGAACCAGATAAATCATATTTTTAGGTTGTGATATTTCGGTGTGAATAGGAAAAATTATATTTTAAAAAAAAGGAAAAAACAAGTTTTATCACATGTTATCAGAGCCCTAGGTTCTTCTCCTCAAGCTTTTCTCTGTGCTGTTTCTTCCGGCCTTAATCTCCAGAAAAAACCAAAGAAGTTCTAGCCCTTCAGTGCCAATGGCAAAAATTGTCCTTGGCCTTGTTGCCAGAGTTCCTCTTCAGTCTTTAGTTAAACCTCTTACTGATCTAGTTACTAAGAACTAAGAAGAACTAAGAAGCCAAGTCACATATAAACTTATTACGTACATGTATCTGATATGTATCCAAACTTCTCCGATATGAACCGGATAAGTATTTTTTATTATTTTATATTTCATACATGTTTAAGTTTTTGATACGTATCGAACACTTGAAGAAGACGAGTTTATTGATTTTAAAATTTGTTAAAACTCATTATATCATTATTGGCAATAGATGACATTTTTTTTAACTTAATAGACAATTATTGTTATTATCAATAACTTATTGAAATTAAATATATTAATTAACAAGGAGCACCTACTCTTTTGTGCACGCTATTAGAAGGGATAAAATAACTCCACAAGGAGTTGATGAATTGATTTTCATTCATAGCAATCTATGTCTTTTATCAAGAAAATTAAATTTATATTCAAAAAAAGAATCCAAAATGTGGGACATTGTTGAAGTTGCTAATCTATCATTTAATGAATCAGTTGAAGATTGTTATTTTTAATGATAATGAAAAAGATGGTGGTGATGTTGAAGAATATGAAGTTGGAACAATTAAGAATTAAGATTAAATGCTTTAATATTTTATTATATTTTTATTGTTAGGCTTTTGTTTTAATGTTTTTATAATAATAATTATAATGAATTTTATATTTAATTTACTATGCCCATATTTGGCCCTATTTTTTCAAAAACTCATCTTTCCAAAACTCATTTTCAACCACATATTCTTCTATAAAATAATTTTTCACGACCGAAATTTTTTTCTTATTTTTTAACCACACATTCTCCGAAAAAAAAATCACTATTGCAAAACACATTCTTTCCTTATTGCTTGTATAGTAATATAACTACATCACCTCCAATTTTGAAGGTATCCAAAAGGGAGGGGAAGAAGGGTTGAGGAAGCTGGATGAACGTGGTGTGATGCCTGATGCTTGTGCTATAGAAGGATTGCCTCGGGACACTCTAAACATGAGCACAGTTCTGGAAGTGGGCCAGAGCTGAAACTGGATAGAATGATCAACAAAAACAATCCGGGTGTGCCTACTGGGCATACTGAGGGGAATTTCTAAAAACTTCACATAAAATCATAGTTGATTAGTAGAAACAATGGGAACCGTAATTCTGGATAGACCAACCATACTCATTCTAAGGATAATTCTCACCAGGAGAATACAGTCTGTAATGCAACAGAAATCAACGGCCTTAATAAGTAAGACATCGAATCATTATGTAACCTGCTTGCATCACTAGATAAAATTAAAGCCTTTTGTCCTTGGCACAATATGAAAGTACTTTTTAACTCTTGCCTTCGGTGCTCTAAAGTCTGTTGCTCTAGTGCTCAGGGGATTGGATTATGTGCAACTAACCATATCACAGATTCCTCTCATCAATTCACTTCCTATAGGCTATAGTCCTTGCCCTGAAAACCAAAAATTAAAAATTGACCACTGGAAACTAGCCATTGTAACTCACCAAAAAGCAATTGTCTTGACACCATCACTCTCACTAGATTGTGTTAAACGTGTCTAAATTATCAGTTAATCTTTTACCCATCCATCAAATCACAAAAGACCTCAATTCTGGTGAAGCATTTTCACAGCTGATAGTGTGATTTAGGGTCTAAGTAATGGAGGACGAGTGGTGCATAAGTAAAATGTGGGGCTGTTNTTAGGGTCTAAGTAAGGGAGGACGAGTGGTGCATAAGTAAAATGTGGGGCTGTTCTAATAATGCCAGCAGTGATCCCCTTCCTCTGACTCCGCTTCAGAAAATAAATATTCATTGGATAGAGCCAAATTTGGCTCCATCATCCTCATACCAGACATCATTCAGTTTTTGTGTTAAAAAATCAAAAATTATGTTTCTTGAAAAATAACATAATATGTCCTTCCAACGAAAATGAAATTCGATTAAATCTCTTAAATAAGAAAATAAATAAAAACCCAACTTGAAAATATATAGGACATAAATATCCATCAAATTTTCTCAAGTTTTTACACCATCCATCATTTGAAAATATGGTTATTATTAATCCTTTTGCTTGTGTAGCCTTCTCCATTATAAAAAGTCCCAAGTTTATTTCTCCAAAGTCTCTCCATACATAGACTGGGCCATGTCGCTTAGTTCTTAAATCAAAACCACAGCTACCAAAATTTGCTTTTTCTGTAATGAACCTAAATGAGACATAGCCACAATTTTTTCCCTGTATGGATCTTATATTGGGCTGTCAGTAATGTTATGCATAATATAGTTGTCACTTGATCTCATGCTTGGACCCATAGATCAGTATATGGATCTAGTTAACATAATCCAGCGAGGAATAATCTCGTGATGATGTGGGGCAAAAAAAAAAAAAGTGTACATAGATAAGAACAATAAAAAGTCAAGTTATTTATGTGAATAAAATCTGATAATTTCGCAACGGAAGATTGATATTCATCCAACATGATTGTCAAAGGAAGAACGAGTTCAAACCTTGGGCTTTCCAAACCAATTGGCAGGTTTGAACGTTGAGAGACGCCTCAGTAAATCACCTCTTTCCCATGGTCTGCAAGAAGGTTGAGATGATCCAAGAGCAGAATCACCAGCACTGGTGCTCAAAGAAGTCCACATGGGCTGTGACCCAACGCGAGAAAGAGAACCCCCTTTCGAGTTCTGCACTTGACCGAACCAGTCCGTGCTGCCAGCATTTGTAGGAAAGGCAGGAGATGATGCCCCTACAGAACTGCTCAAAAGAGGAGGAAAGAAACTATGTGAATCATATAGAGAAATGATAGTAGATATTTCTTGGTAGCTTGTAACGGACCATCATCTTTTAAAAAGAGACCACTTGTTAAGCTTACAACTCCACTTTTCAGATTCTATTTCATTGCCGAATTTCTCAACAACGATGAGGACAATGCCACAAACAATAAAAACTTAAATTTCTTTGCCATAGTGAAATATCATATTTTTCCCTGGTATTCTTGGAACTTTATTTCAAGTAATGAAGCACAACTCTCCAGCAACTACAAAGCAACTTCTTCAAATGTCATTCATAACTGTAATGTAAGCGTGTCTAATATTAAAACTTTTAATTCTTCAATTCACGTCCTACTGTCAGATGAAAACCCTAAACATAAAATTCAAAAAAAAAAATGTAAAGCAAAAGATAGGCCTTTTAGATCAGATTCCAGCTCCCAAACTTCATTCAACACTACCGTATTTCACAATCAAAAGGTATTCAAAATAATCACATACTTCCAGAACAACTTCTCCCCAAAAAGAACATTTTTAACATACAAACGAAAAAAAAAAAAATACCAAATTCCCAATTCCATGTAACCGGTACAATTAGGCATTCACAAAACTCTAAAATCCCAATAACAATTCACACAGCAAGCCAATTAGGTAATTGATTTACCTGGCAGCAGGAGTGTGGATAGGAGGCGGAGAAGAAGATCTGGGGGGCAATAGCGGATCCCCTGAAGAGCTTATAACCTCGTCCTTCATAATCCCTCCACTCTCTCTCTCTCTCTCTCTAAGTGATTGAAGTGTCAACCCTTGGAGTCAGAGCTCTCTATGCTGTGAGTTTCTTTCAGTGGTGGCTAATGGAGAATTTTTCATTTTAATTTGGGGCGCGTGTAAGTTCATAACGAACAACGAGCGTGACTGTAGTTGGTGAGTGGTCAAAAGCGTTAGCTTTTTATCTCATTCAGTGCCGGATCAGTTATGTACCCATTATGCTATTGTGGTGTAGCGATTTTGATCAAATTATTCGAATAATTTGGTTAATTTCGTTATCTTTATTAATTTATAGTACAATTTTGCAAGTTCGGATATGATTTTAATTACATTTTACCTTATTTTAAAAACAAATTATAAATATTTTTATTAAAATTAACCTCAAATTTAATCATCTGCTATTGTTCATATATGCATGATATAGATTGTATAAAAATTAGGAAAATGTTACTTGTACATTAGGGGGTATATAAGGATGTCCATTATAATATTTTTATTAAAATTAACCTCAAATTTAATCATCTGCTATTGTTCATATATGCATGATATAGATTGTATAAAAATTAGGAAAAT